CTCTAAGCTGAAGACAAAATTTGACCAGGAATTCAATCAGCATATTTTAACACAGAACTGATGGGTGGCCCTTTTGTGGCTAGTGTCATCTTCCTCCAAAAAGCTGAGTGTGTAATGAATGCTTTGCTGAATTGAGGGCTTTGTTTCTCACAAATTGATAATGCTGTTGGTTTAAAGAGTGGTTTCTGAGTTAAGAACTACTTATGTAGCTGCATGACAGTTGTCTCTGTATATTGAATCTTTCTATCAACAGACTGTACAAGAAGCTGCTTCCATATTTCATGGTTTGGTTTTGTTTTTTAAAACTCCCACAGAGTCTGATGAACACTAACAAAGAGGAAATGCGAGAGCTTGCAGCCCTGTTTTATTCTGTTGTGATGTCTACCACGTCTGGAGATGAGCTTAGGGCAGCCTTGGAGCAACTGATCAAGATGACAAAAGACAACCATGTAACTACCTTCCTTTGTCTGCTCCTTGTTTTTATTCATGTCATGTAACAGATAGGATATTTGAATCTCACAGTGTCAAGGTTGTATTAGCCTTAATCTGGGTGTAAAATTAAGAAGCTGGCTTCTGACAGGATGATAAGGGATTTTTATTGTAGGTGAGTGGAACAGGTCTTTAAATAAATTAATCCCTGAAGCTGTTGTTAAGATCAGTAGGAGGGTCTCCTGGAGGCACATCCCAAGCAAAGCACTGTCGTGCATTTTACCGTTTTTAACCAGCTAAATAGCCATGTCTCATTGAGTGGTAATGGATCACACTATCTTCTTCAAACAGTTTACGAATTCCTTATTCTTGAGCATCTGCAGGTACCCACAGAACCTAGAAAATGTTTAACTTATTAAATGTTTAACTCTTCCCCTCCTGAGCCATAGCTGCCCCCTGGGTCCTCACTGCCTCAGGGTCTTGTGCTGGGTTAGGGCTGTGGTTTCTTCCCTCTCATTCCACATGGACTGCTCAGCAGCCCTCCACATCTGTATCTCCACATAGTGGGTTTGCCTGCCTTCCTTCACTCCAGCAGTTTCTTCCCTCTTTCTTGTCTCTCCATTTTGCCACTACAAGCAGGGAAAAGGAGTTCTGTAAACAAATTGGGCAAGTTTCTGTGCTGGTGTCTTGAATCCCAAAAGGGAGGCAAAGGAGTAGCATTCCAGGTTATATTTCTTGAAAATGTTTTTGTATCAGTCTCTCTGAAGGACTTTATGGGCCACCATTTTACATTGCAGGTGACAGATTCAAATTCTGACAAGAAGTGTTTATCGCTTTATGTCATAGTTAACAAACATGATTTATTTTGAATCTATGAAAGCTGTACCTGTGAACCAAAGCCATGCCATTGCTCAGTTTTATGTAGGGTTATGAAGCCAGCATAGACAAGTCCCAGCCCCCCACTGCTGCTTTCTGCCCGTGTCACCTAGGAAACTGTGGTTGAAGTTTCACAGAACCTGTCTGAGAACAGCAGTGTGAACTGTGAAAGGAAAAAGAAAAAGCAGGGTGTTCCTATGCCTTTTTGAATCTGAGTCAGTTAGAGCTCTTATTTGCTGCAAATGCACAAAACCAGTTGAATCAGTACAGCTAGGGATAGCTGAAGTGTAGACCCATCTTCTGCTGGTTTTGCTGTAGTGAGACCACATCAAGGAAGAGTCCCTGGTGGCCAAACTAGGTTAAAGGTCCCATTCTGGCAGCACAGTTGCGCTGGTGCAACTTTTTGTAGGGTTGTGATACAAAACAGAGGTGTGAACTAATTGAAGTTTAAGCCTCTGCTCCATCCTTTTTTTTCCCCCAATCAAGGTAGCACTTAAATCTCACAACCTTGTTTCTGCACAAAATCCTTTTGATAGAATTCACCTCTAGAAATGAACATTGTCATTAGATAGTCTCAGCATTGGAGAAAGTGACTTTCTTGACATTTAATTGTAATAATTAAGTTTCACCATTTGTAGCCTACCAAACTGTATAGAGGCGTTGTCTTCAGAGTAGGCCAGCTGTGTTCTCATTCTTAGCAATGCAAATCTAGAGCAATTCCCCTTTTCTGCTTTTTACCAGAGTACAATATGTCCCCTTAGTCTGAGTATGTCCATTTTTTAAGTAGAGACAATGTAGTATTATCTTAGTTTACCTTTGCATTTTTTCTTAAGGGCTCCACTCCTCAGAGAGCACTAGCAATATCAAACTGTCTGTTGTTGCCTTATGTGTTAGAGCTCTGCATTCTTCAGGGTGCCCTCTGATCTGGCTTGTCCATATGTGTTTTTAAATCAGTGCTTTGTGCAAAGTGTCACTTACTTTGAAAAAAAGATTTTTTGCACTGTTGGTGTTGTCTGTAGTGCCCGGAGGTCCTACATGGATCCTTGTTGGCTTTGGGATTTACAGTAGGAAGGTACTTGGCCAAAGGGAAAATCAGAACAATGGAGCTACATGACATAGAACAACCAAACACTGCAGTCATGCCGGAACAAGAATAACTTATAAAGTCAACAACAGAGACAATAGGTAACTTCTTGTGTAAGACTTTGCTGCATGTAACAGTTGTTTTCTCAATCCATTTGAGGCTGAGAATTTTTCTGATTTTTCTGATATTTTCTGAGATACTCAGCCCATAGAACTGTAATCTTGAGTTCAATTTTTGTGATAGAATTTAAAGTATGTAAGAATGTAATCTGGTAAGTTATATGGACATAAGCCTTTTCAACAAAACCTAGGTAGACTCAACTCAGACCACATAGCACAATTACGTGCAGTGCCACTGCTTCAGTTCCTTTCAGTTTCTCCTTTGATTTTATTCTAGCATAATGCTTCCTACCAGCTCCAGAAGAGAGAAATGCTTTGCTTCTTGCATGGGTAAAATACAAGTGCCTGCCAGCTGCTAATCTATAGTATAAATTTGAGTCATTCTGTTTTGCTTTTTCGTGTAGGTTCTTTCCTGGACAGCACCTCTCTCTTCCTTGTGGTGGCTGCTTGTACAGCTCTTGGAGAGATTGGCAGGAACGACCCCCTGCCAATTCCCAATGAAGGAACAGGATTTACAAAGCTACAACTTGTTGAAAGTTTATTGGCCCGGATCCCTTCTAGCAAAGAAACAAATAAGGCAAGATTTTGTTGTGGTGTTATGATTAATTTTTGAATGTGTTTGAATGTTTCATCCCCGGGTGTATGTATTCGCTGCCAAACTCGACCTCATTTAAGGGAATTAGGCTTGTTGTTGGCCTTATTGAGTCAGAGTTAGGCTAAGGATTCTTCCAATGTTGTCCAGCAGTTGATCACATGTGCTTTCTGCAGTTATAAGTAGAGACTTAAGGGATGAAAATATGAATAGTCATATTTTAATTCAAGAAAAAGGGGAGTATCTTCTTGTAAATAATCCTCAGAGGCCTGTGTTTTGGAAGAGAGGTGTACTGATCAAATAAGCCACTAGCTTGTGTGACTTCTGGTAGCTTAAACAGAACTTCAGCAAGGGTGAGAAATAGTGGGTTTAAAATGTATCTCCTGAATTTACAGGAGAGTTATGTGACGGTGTTGGATTTTTTGTTTGTATTTAAGATGAAGGAATGAGCAATACAAACATTAGGCTACTTCCCAGTGGGAGATGAAGATTTTCCTCACCAGAAGCTACTGTTGCAGGATTTAATGGATTCTGTGGAGGTGAGACACTATAAATGTATTATCCTTTATACTACAGTGAGTATTTCTATTTGGATGCTTTTTATATACTCTAGAGCCAGATTTACAAGGGAAGTTGTCTTTTTGTAATAGTGCCTCTGGGTTTTTTAAAGCTGCCTTGAAATAGAGAGCAGAGGTAGACTTTGGGCTGCTAAAATGTTTTATACCACAGTGTTTTACATGCAGTTTAAAAACTTGGCATTCAAGGTCTCTGTCATAATCTGAGTAAAATGCACATTCCCCTTCAGGAGGATTATGGATTTTTTTTTACACACTATATATGTAAAATCTTAAGATCTTATAGTAATGAAGCTGTAGGTCTGTACTTTCTCCTTCAAAAGTACCCTAAAAGTAGGTACTATAAGTACATATATTTTATCTGAACTACATCTGCTAATACAACTCACTTGAATTAGAAGCTTCGTTTATAGGAGTGTATGTATCTGTTCTCCATCTTAATGCATCATTGTAGTGCACAGTACTTCAGAGCTGTTATACGTTACAGTGTGCCAGATAGCAAAAATAAATTATCAAGGAGCTTTTTTAATGTTCTTCATTTACAACTTGTTTTACCTTTAGCTGCTCATACTGACATAGGATTCTGCATTGTAGAAGCAGCTGTTGAGTATAGACAGGCATTCTTTGAGTCCTCCAATCTGCTGTGATCAAACAAGCAAGAATCACAGAATGGTTTGAATTGGAAGGGACCTTAGAGATCACCTAGTTCCAATCCACCTGCCATGGGCAGGGACACGTCTCACTAGACCAGGTTGCTCAATGCCCCGTCCAACCTGGCCTTGAATGCTACCAGGCATGGGGTAGCCCCAACTTCTCTGGGCAACCTGTTCCAGGGCCTCACCATCCTCACAGTGAAGAATTTCTTCCTAATATCCAATCTAAACCTACTCTTTCAAGTCGTTAATCTACTATCCTATCACTATACTTAGAATACTAGGAGCACTGTGTACATAAACATAAAATGTTTGAGTGCTGTGTTTTTCTCCTGTAACTGCATGGGGACTTTGCAACTTCCTTTATAAAAGGTGTACTTGGAAAAAAACAATTTATCTTAGATTGCAGGAAGCTAAGGGCTTACTTTTCCAAGTGCCTGAACTTTGTCCTTCCAGACAGTAAGGAAAGCAATCTAGAAGGTACTCAGGAGGCATGGAAATGAGTTCTTACGAGTCAAGATTCATCATAAATAATTACAGGAAAGTAACAAAGTTCTACATGTACTGTTCTTGAAAGCCCAGAGAATAGTGTAAGGACAGTGAAACAAAACAAAGTACTGTCTGAATTCTTTTAAAGTGAAAAGAGTTTTCTGCATCTTTTAAAAGATCAACTTCTGGATGGAATTACAGGAGATCCTTTACTACTACGTACTATAACAAAACTGGAGTAATTTTCATTAATCACTGGCAGTCTCGTTCTAACTGTTTTATTTTCATCCTATCTATCCAGTTCTTTCTTTTCACTAAGTTGAACTTATGCAGAGACTACTCAATACTGTGTATGCTTTTAAAAAAATGTGAAAATTTTAGCTTTTACCATTCATTTTGGAGAGTTTGACATCACCTCTTTTCCATCAATTTCAGTGGGTCAGAAGCTCACCAAAATATGTTGATCTTATTGCAAATTAATGATGACAATTGGGGTTGAGAGAGGGACTGTTTGTATATTAACTATGAAAATTTTGGTGTGTGTTGAGTTAGTACTGTCCATGATGCTCTAATGTGTTTTCCAGGCCAAACAAATAGAACTGCAGGTTCATAGTTGGTGAAACCATTACCAGTGCTGCAGTAGGAACCAGCTCAGTGGCTGCACGTGATGCATGGACAGTCACAGAGGAGGAATATATCCCTCCTTCAGGTAGGCGTTCCTATTGTGGAGGCTGGCTTGGGAAACACCTGGACTAACACTGAGCTCCATAACTTCAGTTCTGTGCTGTTTGGTTTATAACAGTAGACATAAGAGACATTTTGTGTTTGTGTATGGTATTATATACAGGTCATTTCACCTCTTCAAGTCCATCTACTCAGAGGGGAGAAGATATTATTTTGTGGGCTGTTTTAATAACTTCTTAATGAAATGTCATTGCTGCTTGACTCCATATTTGTTTTATTTTTTCTTATTGGTTTGCCATGTTGTGTTAGTTCTTAACATACACGAATCTTTTAAAATTACATTTGGAAAACAGGGTTATAAAATTATATTGCAAGTGTTTTCCAACAGCTTCTAGTGATATGATTAAGTGACATTTCCATGCACTAAATGCAGAAATTCTATGTAAGAATTAAGGTTCTGTACTATTGGAATACAAGCATGAGAAAATGCTAACTTCAAACCAGGCAGCTGTATATATAAGCCTCAGACCTGCAAACATGTGTTTTAATGGTGAGAGGGTGGTCTTAGATCTCCAGTGTACACGAAGCTGAGTACTTACAGCATGGGGTAGAAACTGAACCCTGCCATTGCTCTAGAAATTTTGAGTCCTTACAAAACAAAAAAAGTAGTGCCCTGAGCCTTAGGTAATATGAATGGTACCTCGTCTTGGCCACAGGCTCTGAAACACATTCACGAAGGATTAGAAGGACAGTGTTTCTAGTAGGAGAAATACTTTCCAGTGACTCCAGTGAAGGCTTTTCCTAAATAAGCAGAGATTGAAGTGTTGCCTGAGTACTCATGGGCTTAATAGGTTTTTCATTGCTGCTGCAGATTATTTTGACATTAAAAATGGGTATGGATAATTCTCAAAGCTCCCCCTCCCCTCCCTATTTCTTTCTTTCATATAGATTTGAAAGTGAATGATGTGGTTCCCTGGGTCCTGGACCTTATTTTGAACAAGCACATCATCAACCCCAACCTGCACACTAGGCAGGCAGCTTGCATCTGGCTTCTGTCAATGGTGAAGAAGCTGAGCACACACAAAGCAATTAAGGTAAGAAGTATGCCTTTTCCTGACACTGGCTCCTTGCCCCTGGTTTTGCTTCTTGCCTCGTTTCTGTCCCTTTCTTCCCCTTCACTTCCCTTACCTCTTTTCCTCTGGTGCTGGTGCGCTCCTTACTGAGGTCTTTTTGGGTCATGGCTTATCTTCTGTTAATAGAGGAACAGACTAACTGGCAGATGAACAAAACTGTCACCTTTGTAAACGTCTGACTTGCACTCAAGTCAGAGTAAGCTCAGCATAAGTTGCTGTTGTAAGATGAAGTAGCAGCACATCTTCCCTTGGGAAAAAGAGATTGATGTCTCTATAGTTTCTAGGATTCATATTTGGAAAATATAAAAGGAGGTCTAGGAGGGGAAGAAGGGGGAGAATTGGACTAATTTGTTTCACAGAGTTTATCACAACTTTGGTACCTGGGAGCAGGTACGATGTGCTTTATGTATGGTGTATTTCTAGTACACCTTGATGACAACCTCATACTTGCAGTGCCCTTCTGTAATGAGAGAGCATGAAGGGTCCTATACAGAGACTTTATAATGCATTCCCAGCCAAAATGTCCTCTCTCTGCCTAGAGGTACTACAGACTGTGATAGGATCACGTAACAATTTTGTGCTTTCCAGGTAATGATAAAGAGCTTTGGGTCAGTAGGTGCTTTGCAGATGTAAGCTGTTACATGTAAAACCTTGCGCGTGTTGCACTCATCTAAACAGTGCACCTTGTGAGGGGTTGGCAAAACTCACTAGTCTGGGGGTGAAGAAAGCCCCATCTGGCTGCAAGGCAGATTTGTGATGTGCTGCTGCCAGGTATGAGGCAAGGAAAATAAAATGTGGCTTCCTAATGTCATGGTAGCTTATAAAAAGGGTACTGGACAATTAACTGTTATCTTCAGTGAGTGTCAGCCAGGCTGCTACTTACTGGTCAGGAAAGAAGGACGGTTCTTGTTGTAGATGTAGGTCAAATAAACAACTCCATTGATAGAGTAGCCTCTGTTTATCTGTTAGGGCCTTGCCTGGAGACCAGACAAAGGATCCAAAATAATGACCCTTTTCTCTTCTTACAGTCTCATCTCAAGGATATTCAAAGTGCATTTGTTTCAATTCTGTCAGATAGTGATGGTAAGTACTATCACATATTAAGAGTTCTGTCTTTTGATGGGCTTTTAACAGAATAGGGGGAATCTTTGAACAGGCAAAAAGTCAACTACACCTTCTCTTTCAGTCAGCATTGAAAAATGACTGTAGAAAAGTCCCGTTTCTGATGTTAATAGGAATGATTTCTTTTCTAGGCACCACATGCAGAGATAAGAAGCACAACTTTTTTGTGTGTTTTGGTAAACAAGCACAAATATTTCTCTGCATTTGTCCCTCCAGACTGTAATAACAGAAATTATTCAGTGGTACTACTTCTGCTCTGCTTTGGGCAGCAAGATGTGTATCACAGAGTTTTGCATGGACAGGAACACTGAGACCTCTTCAGACTAGGACATTTTGCTATCTGTGATGTCAGCAAGGGGGAAGGGTGGCATCCAGCAGTCTATGCAAACCTCACCAAAGAGAGCGTTACCATTAATATTGCTGGACTTCGAGTGCCAGAAGTGTGTCAGAATACTATGGCTCTTGGAACTCTTCCTGCTGTGTCAAAACCTGCAATAACATTATTTGTGTCAAGATATCACCTAACTTCATGGGGTTTATGCCTTCAGAAGCAATTGCTGCTTCAGAATGCAAAGTTTGTGTCCTGACAGACTAGATCTGCTCTAAAATGGAGAACTGTGAACTGCGGTACAGAACTGCGTTTGCTACATCTTGATTTTGGTTGAATCTTGTTTTTTTAAATTTGTGTGATGCTTAGTTAAATGCTTATCTTTAATTATTTTATAAAATCTCTTGCAGAGCTTAGTCAAGATGTTGCTTCAAAAGGTCTTGGGCTAATATACGAACTAGGAAGTGAACAGGATCAGCAAGAGCTGGTCACTACTCTTGTTGTTATCCTTATGACTGGGAAAAGGTACAGTGAACTCAGAACACTGTGTGAGAGTACTCTGAGCTTTATGTCTTGTGAGAACAAAAGCATTTCTTTTTTGTGGAAAGAGATGTTTTGTCGCCAAGGGCAAGCCAATATCCATTCCCAGAGAGTCAAATTGGGACATTTCTTAATTCAACCTATTAAGAGTTTTTTGTGACTGAAGTTGTTCTGGTTTTGTTCCTTTCCATAAAGCTTCAGAATAATGTTTCAGTCCTGATTCAAGCGGTTCAAATCAGTTGGGGTTTGATTAAATTTCCTACTTGCTGCATTGTGTAACTACTAAGAACAATGACTATTTCCAGCAACTCTGCACATCGTGAATGTTGCAGAAGGGGGACTTGCTTGTGCCTGAAATGCATCTTTCTCTGAGAAAGTGTTGTTAATGGTCACTTGTCAGCTTTAGTGGGGAAAATGCTGGTCTAAATCACTAGCAGTGAGTTCTGTATGATGGTCAGTGCTGGAAATGCTCTTTAACAGCCTACTCCTGTCTTAACCTGGTGTGTGTTTGACCGCTGTGAATGATAAAAACCTAGGCTGGTAGTGTAGGGATTTATTGGTGGTAAATGGGAAGAAACTAGATGAATGGGAATGGTACTTTTATATTTTGAAATAGAGATTTGCAGTCCATTATATGACTGACTGAGCAGAAATAAAAAATCCAACATTCAGTGTTTTGACTTTCCACCTTCTGACTGCACAGCAAAACTCTCACTTGCTGCAGCTCTCCTTAACATTACAGGTGACACAGGTTAATGAGATGCCTTGCAATGTGTGTGGCTTTGCACAACTGTATGTTTTTTTATGGTATTGGAACTGAAAGAATATCAAGTTACTGAGTTAATAAAGAAAAACAAATTACTTGTTCTGTAGTGTGCAGTCTACTCAAGGGTAGAGTTTGGTAAAGCTAATACTGGACCTCTTTTCTATCAGAGCCAAACATGAGATGACTGGAGAAACAGTGGTGTTTTAGGGTGGTCTGAGCAAAACCCCAGATGGGTAAGTTTACTGACAGTCTTGACACACCGTACTTGAAACAGTATTCTTTGGTGATAAATCTGCTTCCTGAGCTTTTTGTTTCTTCTTGTTCTCTAAGGTATTAGGTATTGTAGTATTTCTGTAGCTAAAAATAGTCACACTGACTTCCCTTCTGCTTTTTAAAGTCAAGGTCTTTCTACCTACAAGGAGCTTTGTTCACTGGCTAGTGATCTTAATCAACCAGACCTGGTGTACAAATTCATGAACCTGGCCAACCATCATGCCATGTGGAATTCTCGCAAGGTAATTCTCTGCTTTTGTACAACTTCCATTCCCACTGTGAACCCTGGAATCAACAACTGCATTTCTCTAACTTTGCTTCCATGTTCTATGGATAACTGCATGGGGAGGGCATTGACTCTTTGGTGTCAGGACAAAGGCAAATTTACCAGCTGGAGAAAAAAAATTAAGGGTTACCTGAAATCCTTACAAAACATTGGTGTATCAGAGTGTTCATATAATCCTATGTTCCCCTCTGAATCAACTGTGATCCTTTCCTTTTGTTTTTTGAATGTTCTTAGAAGACAGGTCTTAGGGTGTTCTAACAGTGATAATGTTTTCAAAACTGCATGAATTTTCGAATGCCAGAGAAAAGTGACCTTGGCAGAACAACAAGTAATCAGCAATAGGTTGCTAAAAAGCACTGTTGTTGAAAGTATCCTTTTTTAACTGAAGTTCTGATATTTTAAAGCTACTGGGACCTTAAACAAAGCCAAGATACTGTTGGATCCACTTCCTGCTGAAAAAAGAAGCATCATAAATTGGAAGATTTTATTATGCTATTCAGAGCTTTAACATGGGACTCTTTGCACTGGCTTTACAGAAGCATGGAAGAACTTGTTCTATCTCTGGGAGCAGGCAGAGCACCTTTTGTGTGCTTGGATGCAGAAGACTTGTGTAACTGCCTCTGCTATACTGCACCTTTTGTGCTCTTCCATGCTTGCTACCTAAGTTTTTGAGTCTCTGGCAACACCACTTAGTGCAAAAAACAAGCCCTAGTTTTCATCCAGAGTTTGGCAAGTTAGCACATCTCTCAAGACTTCCCTGTCTTTGCACTAGGACTTCAGAAGCATGGAAGCATAGTTAGTTTCCTGACCCTTGTGGAATTTCACCAGCCAGAATGAGTCCAGAAAATTCACTCAGCAAGTGTATGCTGAGCTCTGGCATTTGAAGAATTTGCAGAATCACTGAAGGGAGCATCTGAAAGTCTGTGCTCTAAACCCCACAAGAGCTGGGCAGAGCATACTGTTCAGGGCCTTGCAGGTGATACCTCCATTTTCCTTGTACTTTCCACAACTTCTTGCTCTCCACTGCAGGGGTCATAACTGAGAGTGTGTCTTTATTGCTCTTGCTTGACTAGACTAACCTGGACAGCACATCCTGTTCTGCGAAATCCCCAGTGTGCGATTTTGAGTGGCATCTTTTGACACTGCAAGTCAGGAAACATAAGTTATTAAAGGGAGTCACTGCACTGCCTGCATTGAGTAATTTCTTCTTGGGCTATTTGGCAAAATCCCATGGGATTTCATAGGAAAGCATCAGTTCCACTGTATTAGAATTGACAGTGGAAGTGGCAGTTGGAGAAATGAGATCATGGAAGAATACTTGAGTTTAAAGTAAACATAGACAGATGAAAAATTATAATCCTCAGAAATTTGAGGTTCTAGAGCTAAAGTGGAGTTGTTTTATTCGTAGTTTTTCCATTCCTATGTTATTCTAATTCTTATAAATGCAGCAGAATTTTAGGCAAGCAGTGACCCACCTTCACCAGTTTTGTCGAGAAAGAATCTCTTTTGGAAGAACATATTTAAATCTTCATAGTTTTAATTCACCAGTACCACTTTTGCAAATGAGGTAGGTGTCTTGAAATACAGATTGGAGAGAAGGAAGTTTTGAAGTAGTATGTTGTCTGCTGATTGTGACTGTATGCTTGAGATCACTGTGGTACTGTAGCCCTGAGGATGGGCCAATTCTAGTACCATTCTATTCCTTTTGATTTGGTCTAAATCTACACTATGTCAATCAACTTTGCCCCTGACTTTGGTGTTCCCGGGAGCAGTAAGTGAGAGAGTGAGCAGAGTGGTCTAACAAATACTCCTTTGTCATCATTTCAGGGAGCAGCTTTTGGTTTCAATGTGATAGCTACCAAGGCTGGAGAGCAACTGGCTCCATTTTTGCCCCAACTTCTTCCCCAGCTCTACCGCTACCAGTTTGACCCTAACTTGGGCATTCGACAGGCGATGACCAGCATTTGGGATGCCTTGGTCACCGACAAGTCTGTGGTGAGTGAACAATACAGTGGGGAATGGTAGGTTTGCTGCCAACCAGCAGTGTGTCAGAGATCCTCTTGGGACAGCTGGATCTTGTGCAGAAAGGGGTAAGGTCCTGCCCTATGGAGAAAGAGGTGTGTGAATCCATGGATGAGCTAGGGGGTGCACAGAGGTTTCACACTGCCTCTTATATGTGAAATAATATTGCAGACCTTGTTTGTGCAAGTATTAAAATTTATGGTTTACTTAAAATGAGGTCTTTCTGCACTTCGATATTGCTTTGATCTTGCTTATGATAAGCTCTTCATGAATCCTTATGGCCTAGGATGCCTTCCTAAACAAGAGCATCTAAATATAGTTCCTCCATTTTTAAGTGGGAGGAAGCCCATGGAAGGACACTGTTCCATCAGTTTAAGGAGAACTTCTCCCAGACATATTTCAGGAATAAGTGATTTTCTTAAGATGCTCTTGGCCAGGTTCTGCAAGGCCTGGAATTGGGTTTGCAAATATTTTCTCCTAGGAAAGCTGATCTTAATGTGAAGTCATTCCCTCTGGTCCCTCATCAAAGCAAAATTGCTTCTCATGTAAATACATGTTTGGTGTTGCATTTTAACAGTGCAGTTGTTAAAGACCTTGAGGGACTCGTTAAGCAAGCGATGCAGAGAAAGACGTCTAAAGCACAGAGTAAGTTTGCACGACTCTGGTGAGAATTACTTCATCTGATGTGGCTGAAAGTAGGTTTTATTATCAAAAAGGACTCTCTTTTTATTGACTATAGGACAAGGATGCATAATCTGTGCTTATTTCATTATTTTTCTCTTTTTTAATAATAGGTTGATAAGTACATGAAGAAAATTCTTGAGGATTTGATCAGTAACCTAACAAGCAGTCTGTGGAGGATCAGAGAACCCAGGTATTGCTAGAAAAAGTATTAGATTTGTCTTTGAACTCTGTTATTTTGTCTTCACCATAAACCCGTTAGCCTGCAGAAGTTGAGAGGGGAAAGAGGACATGTCCATTCATCAAGATAAAGGTCAGTCTTGTAACCCACCCTTGAAGTATGATACAATCTTGAAGCTATTTGTGTAATTGAGCCTAAAATCTTTTATTGCATGTAGCTTGATACTAAGCAATGTTCTCTGAAGAATGAGTTTTCTGGTCAAAAATTTCTTGCCTATCCTTGGTCCTGAAATATTACTTTCTCTTAGAATTGTCAATATGACGATTGCGTACTTGGTAGCAGGCTGCCATTTTTAATAAGCTGCTTTTTGTTTTTAATGGTTTGTGATGATACTCTGTTGAAATCTTTCATTTTAATTTCAATTCCAGACTTTATACCATTTTGATTTCTTCTTATCCTGTATTTACAGAAAAGAAATCTAAAAGAATTTTGTAACTGGAATGTTTGCAATAGCAGTTTTCATCACAGCAGTCTTTCTCATTTGCTGTCAGTGGTTTTAGGTTTTACCTGAATGACTGAACATTTTTTTCTCTGCTAAAGGAGGTGATCTTATGATAGAGCAGGTTTAGGGCTTGAGGAAAATAAAGACTGTGGAACAGTTGTCAGATTTTTTTTAACCATTTACCTGTATTTATAAACATAGATGTGCATATACCTATATCAAGTAAGTACACTGTGTGAAAGAAACTAAATTCCTTGTTTGCAGCTGTCTGGCACTAAATGACTTATTAAGAGGAAGACCTTTGGATGACATTATAGACAAGCTTCCAGAGATCTGGGAAATCCTCTTCAGAGTGCAAGATGACATTAAGGTAATGGAACTGAGAATTGAACAGGAATCTTCAACAAAAAGCAGTACAGTGATCCAGCTCTGAGATGTTTAAAGAGAGATTCTCTGACAAGTCAACTTGAAGCCAGTGGGAGTGTTGAGTATTGTTGTGGTTTTGCTCTGGGTCAATTTTGTTTTCCACTCTTCACACAATTACTACTAGTTGAGAGAAGGTATTTGCAGACAAAAGGGAGACAGGACTTGGGGAATACAGTATAAACATTTATTACTAGTAAAATAAAAACTACTAATAAGTTAAAAACTAAAGAACTATATTTATAACAATTTTTATTCAAGTTGAAGTGCAATATATACACAGAAATACTTCTTCCCTTTTTATACTAGTCCAAGGAGAAGAAGTAGTTTCATTCTGTATCTTTGGAGTTCCAGTTCTCTCCCTCTAGTAACCGATTTTTAGCAGTAGTAGCACTTTCATTGCAGTTGGAACTTCTTCTCTTTTCTTCTCGCTCTGTGTTGGCTTCTGGGGCTGGGCTTACCCCCCTCCTGGGCTAAGACTGAAGGTTGGAGATTATTCAGGTCCTGAAGGGTTTTTCTTCCATAGGCTTGCAAGGGGACACTTGCTTACTATGGATCTTCTTCCATAAGGTTACAGGGGCTAATGGTTTAAGAGTCCACCCCTGTTTCCCTATGGAGGTCCCTCTCCATGGGAGAACAGTCCTTGATAGACTTCTCGGCATGGGTCTGGCACGAATCCACACACACACGGATTCCAATATCTCACATGGGCCGTCTCGCTCCAGCATGAGATTTCTCAGAGTCACAAAAACTTTAACAGCAGTATAGATCCACACACGCACGGATCTCGGTATCTCACCTGAGTCATCACTGCTCCAGCACAGGTTTCCCTCAGGGTTGCAAATCTCTACCAGGACTCTACCTCACTTCAGTTCTTTTTATGAAGTTTCGGTTCTCTTTAGTGCATCCACAGATTCTTTTATCAGCTGCATGGGAGGTTTCCTTACTCCAGCACACTTTATAAGTAGCAGGGTTTACTTTTCAGTCTTTTCCCTGCTAAGGAGAGAAAGCAGAAAGGCAGGGGGGAAACAAGCCTCCCCCCTTTCGCACTTTACTTTTCTTTGCTGCAGCTTCGGCTGCCAGCTCCGACCTTGGAAGCTCCGTTATCTTTCGGCTGGAATTCTTCCACAGCGATTTCTGTCCAAGCAGTCCGTCTTTTAAACTTTTTTTTCTCTTCACTCTCTTACAAGAGAGAAGGGAGGACTTCAGTGCTGCACCTGCTCCCCCCCCGGCCCAAGCCAGGGGAGGAGGGAGTCTGGCCCTGTTCGGGCCCGGTACTCCTCTCCCCTACATGGCTGCTACTCTAATTCCAACTGCGCTAACAACCTTCTCTTCCGTTTTCTTGAAGATGTAATTAGCAAAGGCGCTTCTGGACTTTTGATTGGTCTTTTTGTCCGGAAATTACCTGGACAAAACCATCATCAGCCCCAGGGATGGGCTGAGGGGGCAAAACCACGACAAGTATTAAGCAGATGAAATTCAGGCCCCTTGCAGTTAAAATTTCCATACCACCTTGGAAATTCTGTATTTTGAAATGTTGGGGTTTTTTCCTGCTGTGCTTATTCTTGGTGATTCAGGATTTTTCCTGGATATACAACAATTCCCGAGTATTTCCTTAATTATTGAATATAGAAACATTTATTTTGGCTACTTGTGTATGACTTGCGTGCATGGGGTCCTTCCAGGTTTGATCTGTGTTAATGTATTAATTGTATCAGATATTCAGATGGACCAAAGCCAAAATTTGTTTCAAAGTTGTTATATTAAGTATTGGCCATGAAGATAGCTGTGTCAGTACTAGTGCTATACTTATCAATTAAAATGAATCATTTTGTAGAAGAATAAAAATAGCAGCAGTGATTGTTGACTTCTCTTCTAGGAGGCTGTGCGAAAGGCAGTAGAACTAGCCCTAAAAACTTTGAGCAAGGTAAAACTCTTATTTCATCATGCACACGTAGGCAGACATGTATGGTTATGATGTCAGGTAATTGTTCGCTGTCATATCTGCAGGAGTGACATGTTTACCATAGTCTGTTGTCTTGAAAAGGTCTCTAATGTAAGGTGCAGTTGTGAAAAACCGAATAACCCCCTAGATAAGCATCACCTGTGGCCGAGAGGGCACGGAGAAACTGCACGCAGACCAATATGATCGATAGGCAGAATCCCGTTTATTATGTGTTACAGTTTCCATTATATACTTTTTTTACACACACATGTCTTTACACGATTGATCAGGAATAGTTAAACACACTTTTCAGCACTCAGTACTTACTATCCTGTGATTGGATCATACGCAGCATCCAAGCGCACTTTCTCCTCGCTTTTTCTCCTTACACTTTCTCTCCGCCTGTTCTCCTTGCTGCTATCTCACAGTTAGCATTCCTGCAGGCTGACATCAGTGTCAGTACTTTTCCCGAGGGCGAACCTTTCAGACTTAAGGCCCAGTAATATGGCTTGTCCATAGTGCTTGCTCTTTAGTCAAGCATCCCACAAATCCCCCTTTTTGTTTTTGTGGACAAACCATACACGCTAATAGGAGATTAATAAATTCACACAACATCCTTTGATTAAAAGATTTTTCTAATACCTATGTAATGTATTATTAAGACTACAAATACCTATACACAACACTTTTCTCTTGCACACTACTTTCATCCACTCATTCAACAGGTGACCACCACAGACATTCACACTTTCACACAAGATTAAAATTCCTTAATTAAATAATTAAGCATTTGACTATAGAAAGAGAATAGTAAAACAAGTCAATCATCTACAGTTAGCCTTCCCAAAACAAACAAACCACACAACCCATGAATAAAAAACACTCCCTGGTGAATAACAACCACTCAGTGTATTAATACTGCAGTCTTATAGAAAACTCCATGTAAACCAAGAAAACAACCGTTGAATACAGGAAAACACCAGTACTGTGATAAGAAGTAAAGTTCCCACTGTTGACCATAACACGATCCATATGCAACTCCCATAGCAGAGACCTCATCCCCGAAGGGCCAACCAGTGTCGCCATTGAGAGACAAAAATAATTACTGTCCTGTTTCACTGGCAATAGTTATTCAGTTGTTTCATTGGGGGGGGTCCGTGACTCCCAGCACCCCCAGGTAGGGCACCAGCACCAGTTTGGCATGTTACTGCTCCCTCCCCCGGACCTCTGGGTTTCCACTTGGTCTCCACTGCCACGTGTGGTTTAATACATTTCACAGGGAACCATCGTACACCAGCATCTGTGGAAACAGAAGCATAACCTCTGCCCATTATTAAGAGTTCCCCAGGGCCTAGCCATTCGCTGGTTCCTGGATCCCTGTACCGCACTTTTCCTTTACTCTTCCCTTGTGTTGCTAATCCTGGGCGTATCGCATCCCAATGTGTCACTATCGGAGGTTGTTCTGCTTCTCCTGTCAAAGTTAAAAGGTTCAAGACATAGACAGCTTTTGCAAGTCTGTCATGGGGCTCTATCACCTCTCCCCCTTTCTGTTTTTGCAAAAGCTGTTTAAGCGTGCCATGTGTACGTTCTACTATGGTTTGTCATGTTGGGGAGTGTGGAATACCTGTAATGTGTGAAATACCCCATAGTTGACAAAACCGGAGAAAAGTTTGAGAACAATATGCCGGGGCATTGTCCGTCTTAATTTGTTGAGACACTCCTAAACTAGCAAAACAAGCTAGTAGATGACGTTTGACATGACGACTGGTTTCTCCCGTTTGTGCAGTTGCCCAAATAACATGAGAGAAAGTGTCAACACAGACACGAACGTATTTGAACCTCCCAAACTCTGCGATATGTGTGACGTCCATCTGCCACAATTGCAGCGCTTGAAGCCCTAGAGGGTTCACACCCATACCCAGTCCAAGACCAATTTTTGACAATTTGGACACGCACTGACTAGTTCTCTGGCTTGGGACATAGTGAGGTGAAATTGTTTGGCTAGCATTTTGGCAGGTTGGTGAAAAAATTGATGAGAAGTGTGAACCTGCTCAAATAAATTAGGAGAAACATGAGTATATGACACTAGGGCATCAGTCCGATTATTACCGATGCTTAACCCTTGCTCAAATTGATGACTGCGAATATGGGTGACAAAATAGGTTACCTCTCGGAGGGTCACTGCCTGATGCAGTTGTAGCAAGATGGTCCGTAGGCGCAAATTATTAACAGGTTTTATAAAAGCACGTTCTATCTGACTTAAAATACCAGCAGCATAAAGGGAGTCTGTTACAATGTTAATGGGTGCGTCTCTCCACTGAACAAGGGCCTGATATACCGCTAGAAGCTCCAAAGTTTGTAAAGAGTCATCTTTTGTTCCTGAGAATGTCTGATTTTTCCATACTCCTTTCTCTTGCCAAGTAATGGCTGCTAACTGGGAACGTTTTCCCGCATCTGTAAATATGGTAGGGCCTGCTACCGATATCTCTGATCTTTTTGGTTGCTCTTCCCAATCCTGTTTAGCGATGAACTGTAACCACTTATCCTTGGGGTAATGTGTTTTAAACTGTCCAGAAAAATCTTGTATAGCCAGTTGAAAAAGCATCGACTGACTAACTAGTCATTGTAAGTACTCTTGACGAATAGGCATATAGATAGATTCAGGTTCTTTTCCACTAATTTCTATTATTCGCTTTTGTATTTTGACTAGTAAACTAGCTAGGGCTTCTATTCTAGTACAAATGGTCGATTTGGGGTGAAAAGCTGGAAAGACCCATTCTATAATTTTTAATTCTGGGTCTAACTGTACTATGAGTGCTTTCAGGTGTTTTGTCTCCAGAGAGGTGTTCACTAGGATGGCATGCATTGGTTTGTTTTCTGTAATACGTGAGACACCGTGATTTAAAACCTTTTTTGCAATGTGATCCAGGACCTCTTTTTGTTCTTCAGTTACTTGTCGCTCTGCTGAAGCATCTGTATCATTCTCTAAGAGGGGCATAAGGGGTGCAATATCATAATTTGTGATGCCACATATGTTACAAACCCATTGCAGTTCCCCCAACAGTTTTTGGGCATCAGTCAATGTTTTGATATTCAAATTCAGTTTTATTTTTTGTGGTTTAATTGTCTACTTTGTCACTTCCCATCCTAGATATTTCCACGGGGATGACTTTTGAATTTTTTCAGGTGCTATTTTTAATCCCCTCTCCTCTAGCATGTGTGTTAGTGTGAGTAACACCAATTCAGTGTCCATATTTCGTCCAACAATTAAAATATCGTCCATATAGTGGTAAACTAACAAGCAAGGAAATCTTTTGCGAAATGGTTGTAGGGCCCAAGCAACATATATTTGACACAGCGTGGGAGAATTTTTCATCCCCTGGGGAAGAACTATCCACTCATACCTCTGTACTGGTTCTTGTCTGTTGATACTGGGGACAGTAAAAGCAAATTTGGCACAATCTGATTCATGTAGAAAGATTGTGAAAAAACAGTCTTTTAAATCAATCACTAGAATTTGCCAGTCTTCTGGAATCATGGTGGGGGTGGGTAAACCTGGTTGCAGAGCTCCCATTTCCTCCATAATGGCATTAACTGCTCGTAGGTCATGTAATAGTCGCCACTTTCCTGACTTTTTTGGGATTGTAAAAATTGGTGTATTGTAGGGGCTTGTAGAGGGTCTGATATGCCCCGCATCTAACTGCTCTTGAATTAAGATGTGAATTTGTTCGAGCCTGTCTTGCTTTAGCGGCCACTGATCTACCCATACTGGTGTATCTCTTTTCCATTTCAGGAGTAGCACAGGCCTAGCTTCAGTGACTGCTTCTAAAAAGGCGTCACTAATTTGGCCCCCATTTGTGCCAACACATCTCTGCCTAGCAATGATACCGGTACTTCCATTATGTATGGCTGAACTGATATGCAACTCCCGTCTGAGAATTGCATCTGAATTGGATATTGGCTCATCATAGGTAAAGAACACCCTCCTACTCTGGCAATAGCCACTTGTGCAGGCCTCGCTAGCCAGTAAGGGGGCCAGTGCTGTTGGGCAATGATGGTTACATCTGTGCCTGTGTCTACTAGCATTGACAACTGTTTTTCTTCCCCCTGTTGATTTCATAGGGTTACCAGTTCTCGGGATTGGCTTTTAGTTATGTCCATGGCAAGATTACCTAACGCTTGTCCTGTTGACCCAAAACCACCTTCTCTGTGGTCCCTACTTGCTGCTGTAGGGACGCATCCTTTAAAAGGAACCAGTCGTGCAATTTTTTGACCTTTTGGAATAAAAACTGGCGGTGATAACGTATAAACCATGACATGTATCTGGCCTGTATAGTCTGCATCAATAACACCTGGTAAGACAAAAATTCCCTGTTTTGAAATGGATGATCGTCCAAGAAGTAGTGCACTTAATCCATGTCCTAATGGTCCTTTCATATTGGTGTCAATTACTGTCACTTTGGTATCAGTAAGATAAAGATCTATGCCTGTTTCCACATCCACTCCGGCACTTCCTCTCGTTGCTGCGGGGTGGTCATCCAGGCACTCTGATTTGATGTCTGTAAGCGAGGGGGCGGCACGCTCATCTGGTAGTTTCCTGATTTTTGTTTGTATTCACGAATATTATGATTGTCTCTGTCACTATTGATATTCAACCTCCCTGTTCTTTTTTTACAGTCTTTTCTAAGGTGCCCCATTTTTCCACATTTAAAGCACTTCATACCCTTCTGTTGGTGTTCTACCAAGGGCCTTACTGCAGCCCCTCCGGCTGCTGCCATAACCTGTGCCTGTTCCATACCCATCATTCGTTCAACTGCTTCTAGCATAACTGCAACTCCTGCTCCTTTTGGCAAGTGAACTAGTGCTTGTTGCGTTTTTTCATTTACATTTTCATAGGCAAGAGTATCCATCAATCTATTACGAGTATTGTCATCTAAATCTGTCTTTTGTAATGCTGCAAATAGTCGGTCTATAAACTTCCCATAAGGTTCTCCCACCTTTTGGACCACCTTGGTGTAAGCCTGTGGAGTACCATCACTGGGTATTGCTAAAAATGCTTGGAGGGCCTTTTCCTGACTTATTTGCAATGTTTCAGTGGCAAACTGTGCTTGCCAGGCTGCATCAACAAAAGGCCCATCCCCCAGAAGCATTTGTGTTGTTACTCCAAATAGAGGATCTCCCTGTTGTCTAACTGTATTAGCTACCTGGGTACAAGCATTTGACCAAGCATTGAGAAAATGCAACACCTGTGAGGGAGATAGCAGCATTGATGCCAGTTGTTTAATATCTGCTGGTGTGAGAAGGTTAGTAGTAAAAATATGTCTAATTAGGGCCTGCGTGTACTGAGAATTTATGCCATTAGCCTGAATAGCCTGTCGTGCTTCCTTTATAATCTTCCAGTCTAAAGGTTGCCAAGTATTCCGACCATTTTGTCCCACAATTACCAGATATGCTTGTTGAAATATTACTCCATCTAACAAAACATCCCGTATGATACCTTTCCAGCGCACCCCTCCCTCTTCCCCCCCACCGGGTACGGTAGCCCCGTGCGGTCAATTCCCAGGTAGTCCCAAACCCAGGGGAGGGGTTGGAAGCTGTAATGGGGGGAGGTGTGGGGCCCCAGCATTTCCCGAATTCAGTTGTGGCATATTCACGTGTCCAGGATTCTCGTACCACCGCGTAGCTTGCATCTCCACTCGCAGCTGTATCACGAGGCGGGGGAGAACCTCGCAACTGACCCAGCGTCCATCTTGCATAGGGGCATGAGACATACATACACACAAGAGCATATATGACTCGCAAAATGGCGAATTCCTTTATTACAAGGCTGTTTATATAGAGGGACTATAGAAGGTTCTGGTACAGAGGTGGGTTTCTGCTAGGAAACATCGAATCCAGAGGGTTTCTGATAAGGGGACTTGGAGAGATAGGTTGTAGGGATATGTCTAGCCATATAGGGAAAAGGGATAGCTAGGGAGGAAGGGAAGGTGTGGTTTGGGGGCACAGGAGAGGGGGGTCCTGCAGAGGCCTGTTTCTTGTCACTGGACTCCAGGCTCTTCCTTCGGCTTTAGCTGTCAGAGCACTTCTAGATGGATCTCTTCCTGTGAGGCCCATTCGAGTTCTTGTAGCATGTCTCTACATTCCTTGTAAGCTTCCATCCGTCCACTCCCGACACAGCTGTTCCAGTCACTGCTCCAAATCTCGTAGATCAGTGTTCCCTTTTTCGTTTTGTAATTCCCTCTCTCGCTGGATGCTTTCAGAAGGCAGGCGATCTCGGAGTCCTTCCTGCCGCTGTTGCTCCTTCCCCCCGCAGACTTTCTTTCCTTTAACCACTTTCTTCCCCCCCCCCGTTGCCTCCATTGATGAATCAGGTAATGGTGGATACAGCGACGGAATGGGCTTCACCGGGTTTTCCTTTATATCGTCCTTAGCGGAATTGGGATGGGGAGGGTTTTGTGGTGGGTCAGACCGACCCCCTTCCCCCTCCTCAGATTTCGTCAACCTGTAACGACCTCTCGGTTTCAGTTGCACTGCTGGGTTGAGAGGCACAGAGGGAACAACAGGAGGAGGCACAGGAGGACCTGTTGCTGCTGGTGAGGGAGTCGGTGTCCAGGGAGGTAAAGGGATTATTGCTGGGGGACCAGGTATTATCGGTCCCGAAAACAGGGAGGGTTTGGCCTGCGGCTGCGGTCCCACGGTAACAAAAGCTGAGTGAGCTTCCCTTTCAACTTTTACATTTTTCAGGGCATCGCTCACTAAATGCCATGTTACAGATAGTCTGGTCATGTCCTTGGTACTCTTTGAGACCTCGTCCCAGAGATCTTGCCCAATCTTTTCCCATAAAGTCACTTCAAAGGCATCGTTAAACGACGCAGAATGTCCTTTTCCTTTCACCCAGGACAGTAGCTGCTTGAGTGCAGCCTCATCATACTTGATTCCTCTCGTAGAGAGAATATACTGGAGTAGTTTTACCACTGCCTCTTCCGTTTTGGTCAGGGCAAACCACATTCCTCCCTGGCTGCCTGGGAAACTCCCACCCAGGCCTTCTTCTGCTAGCAACAGAGATGGGCTTACCGCGTCCAGAGCGTTGAAAACCAGTGCCAGGGACAGCACACTTTTACAGCCAGCTTCCTCTCTTCCCCCTTCATCCCACCGTTTACTGCTCGAAGTCAACACAGCCAAAGGGTCCCAGGTCTCTGTTCCGGAGCACAAAATGTGGCCGAGAGGGCACGGAGAAACTGCACGCAGACCAATATGATCGATAGGCAGAATCCTGTTTATTATGTGTTACAGTTTCCATTATATACTTTTTTTACACACACGTCTTTACACGATTGGTCAGGAATAGTTAAACATACTTTTCAGCACTCAGTACTTGCTATCCTGTGATTGGATCATACGCAGCATCCAAGTGCACTTTCTCCTCGCTTTTTCTCCTTACACTTTCTCTCCGCCTGTTCTCCTCGCTGCTATCTCACAGTTAGCATTCCTGCAGGCTGACATCAGTGCCAGTACTTTTCCTGAGGGCGAGCCTTTCAGGCTTAAGGCCCAGTAATATGGCTTGTCCATAGTGCTTGCTCTTTAGTCAAGCATTCCAAAATCACCACATAATGCCCTGTACTTTTGTTGATGCTGGTGAAGTCCTGTTGCTTGTGGGTAATGTGATGTTAAGTTCTGTACAAGCAAAGGAAGGATAAAATTAACTGGTTTTTTTTTAACCTCTGATGCCATTTTTTCCTCATTTAGGGGCGGGATTTCTTGTAACTTTAACAGTTGACCTAAGCTGACTCATCTAGTTGACCAAGCCTAGTAGAACCTCAGTGATATGAAACAGAGTAATGGAGTATATTCTTCACTGGTGCTATTACTGACAAGATTTATTGGGTGTAGTACACATATCACTTAATATTTTGCTTGGTAGTCCTTAAAAAAGTCATGTTGTTTGAAATCCCAGCCTTCGCAATGCATGACATCTTAATGCTACAAGTGAGGATCTGGGCCCAAAATGTTATCACAAAATGTTCTAATGTGGGAGTTGCTGCTCTGCCCTGTGCAATGGTTGAATCCCTGTGGCTGAGATAGGCTGTCCCTCAGCTGAGAGGTCATTTGATTCATCTCTTCATCCACACTCAGGTCAAGACCTGTTAGGCTCTTAATTTGCCTTTTCTGGAAGCTGACTGTAGTTGAAACCTGTTTTAAGGATGTGTCTTAGGGTTTAAGTACCTTTTGGAGAGGAGAATGAAGGTGTAACAGCCTGGGTTTGGTTGTCAGCAGTTTCTCTATTTGCTGTTGCCTTCCTCTGACTGAAGGAGGAAGTGCTTTAATGTATTTGAGGGGGAGGTTTGTACATGTTTGCAACACTGATTCTCACCTGTCCCCAGGTCTGCGTGAAAATGTGTGATCCCTCCAAAGGAGCAGCAGGTCAGAAGACGATAGCTGTGTTGCTTCCTTGCCTCCTAGACAAAGGCATAGTAAGCACAGTTGCTGAAGTCCGATCTCTCAGGTTAGTTTTGCATCCTATGTTTGCTGGGAGTTGTGTCATGATTTGTCCCAAAGAGATCCAACTTACTCACCTGAGTTGCAGAATGTTCTTTGTGTTTGAAGTGACAAGTTGTTTCCTGAAAGAGCTTTCCTGCTGAGTAGTTTCTCTCTAAGTAGCAACTCTGAGAACTCTACCTGTCTTTGAGAGTGTCTGACCTCTCTTCAAATGCCCAGGTTCAGTTCCCAGCAGGAAGTTCTCATTTCCCAAGAGAACTGATATGCAAGCCATGTGCTGTGCTAAAGCTGTCCTTTGGGACTGGCATATCTGTCCTGCGTGCAAACAAAAAATCCTATGGTAGTTCTTCAAACAGCCAGGTCTGATTTCACAACTGGTTGTGAGTATTGAAAGTTCATGTCCCAGATGTGACCGCATTGGGTCATGCTGTTCAAATACATTTTATGTCTTGTGACAGTTCAATGCCCCTTGATGTGTAGGGACTTTATATGTTTATCAATTTGTAACTCTGTTTATTCCTTCATTTGCTTGAAGGACAAAAAAACTGGAGCGTAGCTCAGACTTGGAGTGTAACTAGCTGGTCTTTGGAAAAATAATTGCTAGGAAGGTTGGAAAGCTCCTAACAAATGATAGTAAATATTTCTTGAGGTTTTTTTCATACCTTTTGAATATATGAAAACCCTTTGTCAAAATGCAACATGAGAGATGTGACCTGTCTGCACTGACAAATGGTATTTGAATAGGTCACTTGAACTTATTTTTTCTTGGACAGAAATAATGGATGTCTCTGGGTGACTTTGCTTAGCACTTCTTTAAAACATGGGAATGTGTTATTTTTTTTTGTACACCTGTCTGCAGTACTGTCTCTTTGTTTACTTTGGTCAGGGTATCACAATCTCTGATCAAACCATAACATAACATCAGGTGGAAGTTCAGGGCTAGGGTATGACTTGGCTTAAGCAGAAAAATACACATACTTTTATTTGCAGGTAGATTTATATTGTTGTCTCTGGATTACAGTAGAACAGGTTTTTAATTCAGTCTGTGTGTTTCTCTTTTGACCTTCCCTTTAATCTTTTCTCCAGCATTAACACTCTTGTGAAGATCAGTAAAAGTGCTGGGTCTATGCTGAAACCTCATGCACCAAAACTTATCCCAACCCTGCTGGAATCCTTGAGTTAGCTGGAGCCTCAAGTCCTCAATTATTTGAGTTTTTCTGCAACTGATCAGGAGAAAGTAAGTGCAGCTATAATGAGAAAGTATCAACAGAACAGATATAACAAAGATTTAAGCTTCATTAAGTAAACAGAAAATTAGCAGGTTTGGTTGGGAGGTGTTCAAAGATGCAAAGAGAAATAGCTATTAAATTACTAAAATTGATCATTGGAATATGACTGGACAAATGTGGGAGATTTTTTGAAGGATTGTGATTTTTTTTGTTTTTAATTCCCTAGACCACTACACATTTTAGAAAGTGAAAAACAATCTGTAAAAACTCTTTAAAGTGTCACTGCTATTTTTCCCAAGGGATTAACTTCAGTACTTCTTATAACTTAAATTAGAATGTGTGCCATAGCAAAGTGTGCTGGAGGTGGATGTTGTCAGCACAATGTCCTTTAATCTTTCTCAAAGAACCATATTAATCAATAGCAGTCTTCTGGGAAAGTGATGGAAACCCACTGTTCAGAAGCAAATGTAGCTAATTTCATTGCAGAGAGGGAAAAGCTCTTTGCAAATAAGAAGGAAGTGAACAGTAGTTTAGAGTGGGATTTTTTCCCCCTCTCTCCATCCTTCCTTCCATCCTTTGGTTTTTTTCCCCATTCATGTGATGTCAGGACTGCATGTTTTAGTTCCTGTACTCCAGCTAGAACACCCATCTTCCTCTGAAAGGGAAACATTCATAGACTGTAGGTATAATTGCTTTCTGTCTGTATGCATCTGAAATGGTGTGAGGTAGCGAGTTACAGTTGATGTTGCCCTTTCCACTATTTTCATGTTGAATTTACACTTGGATTTGTTTGGGGGGGTTTCCTGGTTTGTGTTCCTTTTGGTTTTTTTGGTTTTTAGACTGCAATGGATAGTGCCAGACTTAGTGTTGTCAAGTCATCTCCCATGATGGAAACCATTAACATGGTAAGTTCTTGTTTCAGAAGGATTCCAGTGTAAAATATGTTGTAGGAGAAGAGTAGGAATTTAAATGGGAGCTTTACAGAATACCTCTACAGGGTTCGGTTCATTTTATTATCACATCTCCATGTGGCTGTCCACTTCCTTTTTCATGTACTGACTTCTCATCCCGTCACCAGTGCTTGCTCTTTAGATCTGTTGTGAGTAACCTTGACTCCATTTAGAGTTGAATGGATTGTTTTTCCACCTGAAGACCTGCTTACTTTGATGAAGAGGGCATCCTTCAACTGCTCTTTGGATGGGGGCTCAACTTGTTCTGGATTATGCTAGCTAACATTTATCTTCATCTCTGGCCCACTGTTCCACAACCAGCTTCTCACCTGGGCCTCCAACTGATGATAGTCATCGTTCTTAAGCCACAAATGCTTAAGAATGTCTTGCCATTGCCTTGTGGTGCCTTAGATATCCCTACCTGGGCCTCGACGGTGCTTTGGTGGTGGAGATATTTAGAGAAAGTGCCGATATCACTGAACACACAGTCAGCTGCTGGTGTTTGTCACTGTAGTTTCCTGCTGCTGGAGGAGAAGTTGCTGATGCCCAAATGCTGTGCTGGAAGATCTGCCATGGTACAACAACCTACCTCTTGTTTAAGAACAGTGAGGACAATTATATAAATAATGACCACTTTCTTAATTTTCAATGTGTTTTTAGCAGCTTCTGCACCTGTTTTAGGTTACTACATGTGGGACAATCCAAATCCAACAGTGTTCAACTGGCGAGACATTTGGGAAAGGTATTCTTCCTATCTTGACATTAAACGCTGGATACTAGAAATTCCCAGACTGACTGTTGCCTCCAATGGCTATCTAAATTTTGTGGCAACAATTTTGTTTATGATGAATGTGATGAACATACTATTTAAAATTGGAAGGATTGTGTTATGCTGGTTTCCTTGTTTTAGGAAAGACCATACTTCAAAGGGATTACCTGGAGCTTTGGAAACGGGCTTGAAAAGGGCAGTTCCTGGTTGGCAAGGAGCAATGGGAAGACTTTGGTAAATGGATAGGACCTGTGGCACCTCCCATTACTTGGGACTTCACGCCAGCACAGGTCTTTGATCCTAACGAGATAACCCGTCGTTTAATGGAGGGTTGTCTTACATACAAGGATCCAAATACCCAAATCTCTGCTCTATGTTGGGGCTTGGCTAGTGATTATCGAACCGCTGTAGACCATGTTCAGAAAGCTAAGGCTGAGTCAGGGACGCAAACTACACCACTCAGAATGGAATCCACCAAGACCAGAGTCCAGACGCCATTTGAAGCCAGCACAGCTTGGACCAAACCTGCTGACACTGGAGTTCCAATTACGGACTTTATGAACATTGGAACTCACATATCAACATCTACAGCCACCTCTATGACCAAGACCAGGGCCCACACCACAGATCCTGAAATCACTATTGCCCCTATAACAAAAAAGAAGATGTGGATAAGGGACGATGCAGAGTCCACAAGCCTACCCCCACGACTGAGGAGTGTAACTGAAGAAGAAGAACGAGCTGTGAGAGAAGGAGCATGTCCCAAGGAATTAGGGGCGCATCCAAAAGAGAGGGGGATGCGTCCAAGGAAAGAAGGGGCAACAACTTGGGTGCCTGATGGAACACATAAACCAAGGAGAATGTTGACACCTGAATACACTCTTCTTGACTGTTCCACAGAAGAGATGGAGGACTATCTGAAATCCTCATCCCAGGGTCTGGAGGATTATTCATTACCTCCACCTGTCAGAAGCCCATCCGCTTCCACATCCACGTGAGAGAGTCAGAGTGGAGACAGTTCCACATAGATACGTCAAAAGAGAGATGGAAATGGATAGGAGGGATGTCCATCCAGAAGCGGGAGTCGTGAGAACATCTGAAGTATTATGATCATTGACCCCAGCAGAGCTCCGGGATTTAAGAAAAGATTATAGTCGCCAGCCTGGTGAACAAATTCTAACCTGGCTGGTAAGGTGCTGGGACAACGGAGCTAGAAGTCACATGCTGGAAGGTCACGAAACACAGCAGTTGGGATCTCTGGCACGAGACTGTGAGATTGAACAAGGGATTGCACGAGAGCCATATAGTCATAGTCTCTGGCTTAGGATCCTTACTGCGGTGAGAGAGAGATATCCATTTAAAGAGTACTTAACAAGTTCTCCAAGAAAAGGGACAACTGCGGAAGAAGGTATTCAATATCTATGGGAACTGGTCATGCTTGAACTTATCTTCAGTAAGCCGGACTATTATGATATCTTAGACCCTGTGCGTCTCCCATGTACTAATCCGATGTGGAGAAAAGTGATTAAAGGTGCCCCTGCACAATACATCAACCGCCTAATTTCAACATTCCATCCAAAGCTGGATGAACCAGATGTAGAAACAATGTGTCAGTGGATACAGACCATAGCAGAGAATTTCAAAGATCTTTCCTATGTCCAACATCAACCCACCCACTCTAAGGGAAGAATGAAAGGAGATTATGAATATTCCCAATATGAGGATGGCTACGAAGACGGAGATGACTACAGAGACACACCAGTAAAGTGATCTAGACCACAAGCTCGACCTCAACCTCGATCTTGGTCCAGATCTCGGTCAACAACTCCTCCCCCTACACACAGGAGGAAGGGCCCTAACCGTCAATCACTGTTGACGGGGAGGCTCTCAGAGACACATATACACGACCTATGAGATCTAAAATATGTCCAATTTATTAGGATAGCTCAGGGTTTTTATAGCATCTGTATACAAGGTCTCGTGACAAGAAGCACACAATTGGTTACAGGTCACTGTCCAGCTGTAAACATGCATTACAAATACCTTTAGAATTGGTTATTAACAGGTAACAAGGCAATTGTTTACTTTATCAAACTCCACCTTCTTCTTGGCACCAATTTCTCTTTGTTCTTGAAAGGACACCCACAGCCATCTTGGGACCTATAACTTATAGTACCTATAAAACCATGTAAAAGTTTAGAAAAGTCTATAAAAGTACCACACACAATATAAATTGCTCACACATTCATCATGTTCCTCCCACAAATCCCCCTTTTTGTTTTTGAGCAATTTATATTACACTAATACATTCTTAACTTACCACTAACATATTATAACACACAAGTACATATATCCATCACCATTAAAAATAACACCTTCACACACTTATCGTTTATTTCTATCTTATAATGCTAAAATTTATCCCAAACTAAGATTTAATGGATAATATATCAAGTTGACACAAAACACTCTTTTAAATTCTAAACTTCTATGATTATATGATACTACACTATAAAGCTACCTTATAATACTACTGAAAAAACTCTGTAATTCTGAATAGCTTATCTACCACAGTATCAACCTTAGTCTGCAGAATCACTCCCTTTCCAAGGTCTTATCCAACGTGTAGGCAGCCACTGAACTCCTGTATCTGTGAGGACACAAGCATACCCTCTGCCAGTTAGTTTTACCTCTGCAGACCCCTTCCAGACTCCGGTTTGTGGGTCCTTGTACTGAACTTTCACTGTTACCTGTGGATTTACCAAACCTGACTGCATAGAAGTATTATGAATTACAATGGGAGGGTCCAATCTTCCACCCGTCAACCATAAAAAATTCAAAACATATAACACTTTTGCAAGTCAGTTATGTGGGCTATCCAGCTCTTCTCCCCCTTTCTATTTTTGCAAAAGTGATTTCAGGACCCCATGAACTCGTTCGATGATAGTTTGTCCTGTAGGAGAATGAGCTATGCCGGTAACATGAGAAATACTCCAATTCGTACAGAATCTGTGAAAACGCTGTGAGGTATAACCGGACCCGTTATCAGTCTTAATTTCTGTGGGGACTCTTAGGGCCACTAGACATGCATGCATATGACGGATGACACATCTGGCACCTTCTCCAGCATGAGTAGAGGCCCATATAGCATGAGAAAAAGTGTCAATACACACACGCACATACTTCAACTTTCCAAACTCATTAACATCAGTGATATCCATCTGCCAAAGTTGCGATGCTTGTAAATCATGAGGATTGACTTTCAAGCTAATGCCTAGTCCATTTTTGTGGTAGGTTGAACAGGCCTACACTACACTCGATACCGTAAGGGTTTGCAGTGTAACCTGTAACACCTGGAAGCAATTTTTGTTTCCAGTCTGTTCCCTCCTGCCAGGGCACTGCTATTCATCGAAATTTCCTTCCAGCAGCTGTAAAAACAGTAATCCCTTTCACAGGATCATCTGAGCGCAACATAAGCTGTTCAATAATCTGATGTTGTAACAAAGGCAACAACTTGTTTGATGGATAATGATTTGTGATCAGTCCCTCAAAATCTGCCATAGCTATCTGGAATGGTTCAGATTTCTCAAACAACCACTCTTAATAGTTCTGAGCGACTGGCACAAAGATTACAGATGGATTCCTTCCAGTTAACTCACAAATCCGTCGCCGTCCCTTTATGACAAGTTGTGCAAACAAGTCAGGCCGTGCCATGATTGTCTTTCTGGGTTGATAGGGTAAGAATACCCATTCCAAAATTCTTATGCTGACTGTTATCTGACAGATGAAACCTAACGGATGTTGTCTATTCCCTCCAGAGTTGACAATCAGATACTGGACTGGCTGATCTTCTAGTATTTTACAGGCATACCCTTCAGTTATTCTACCTGAGATGTTAACTATAGTTGCTTTTTGTACGTCTGACAAATCTTTCCGAAGCCCTACTTTAGCAACAGACCTTAGGAAAGGCATTAGAGGAGCTGGATCATTATTGGTTATCCCAGAAACAGGTCTTACCCACTGTATGTCACCAAGTAGCTTCTGCACAGCAGTCAAGGGTCTTACATCAGTGTTAATGGTTAACTTCTGTGGTTTTACAATATCAGATGTAATGGTCCAACCTAGATATTGCCAAGGCTCTTGTCTCTGATTCTTCTCAGAAGCGATTTTCAGACTACACTGACCT